TCACGTGGTAGTTTAATAGCTAAGTGGGGTTTTACCACAGCAGATCAAGAATATACAGAGAATCTTGCTAAGAAATTTGTAGAGGAAGCGCAAAAACCATTTTCTGTCGACTTATTGGTGCTTTCAAAAACGGTTCCAGCTAATTATTCTATCCAATGGGAACAAATACCTTCCATTTTACAGCTACAGCCAAGTGCCTTTGATCCAAAACACGACCGAGACTACCGCAGTTGGCCAGTCCATGATTCCGAGCAGCAACGGGGTAATCGTCCGTATTACCGTCCGATCGGTTGGTATCGCCATGCATTGAGTGTCATAGATAAATATCCTGGCGACGAGCATTGGGTGGGTATGAATAACGGTGTCGGAGAATGGCCTGTTGCCTACCATGGTACCAAAAAGGGAGCTGTGTCACCGATTATAAAAGACGGACTGAAGGCAGCTGGCGTGGATGCATACAGAAACCAAGTTGTAAAAGATAAAGGTCTTGAGGCCCAATATGGCATCTATCTTGCGACACATTGCAACAAAGGAGCAGATGCACAGCGATATGCTGAAACGTTTACAGTAAAAATGCCACCGGGTATGGCGTCCGAGGAAGCAGCATATAAGGTTGTGCTCCAATGTCGCTACAATATTAACACGTTTACTGAACATTCTTGGACCTGGACACCCGAGCCGTTTGATCCCTTAGCTAAGGAAATACGCGTGTATAAGATGGACGGTGTCCGTCCGTACGGTATCTTGCTGAAAAAAGTGAATCACAATGCCGAACCTAATTTAACTGGTGTGTGGATCTGTGATGACAATGAGCATAACGTACAAGATGCTGGCACGTATTTCGTTAGCCAATTTGGTGAAAAGGTTTTCTGGTTTGGACGGCAATATAAGGCGCCGTGGAATTTCGCTAATGTTAGCTATGGTACTATAAGTAGAAATGATAGAAAGTTGCCGATACTGTGGGGTGATTTACCACTCGGACATAATAGACTTTTTGGCAGATTAATATTAGAAATATCACCAGATTATCAAATAATGGTAAAAGGAAACGGTAGTGACAAAATATTTGGCGGTACTCACTTTCGTCGAGTACCAAACCAGCATTTAGATAAATTTGAGGTTGATGCCAATATGAAATGGAGCACCACAACCAATGACATGAGTGGTTGTTGGAAAGGGAACGATGGGACAAAATATGCAATTGGTACTTGTCAAAATCAAATATATTGGTTAGGAATCGATGAAACGAACAGGCGATCACATGTTGGTGTTGGCACAATCAGTGGCAACATCATTACTGTCAATTGGGGTGATATAATGAGTGCTCAAGAAAGATTTCATGGTGAAATAGAATGCCAGCTCCAATCACCCTATAAAATGATTGTTGTCAACTGCATTTGCGGGCCTTTTTTTACAAAAGAGTTAACAAAAATCAGTTGATCACAGTAGGCCATTTTGTCTTTTGTGGCAATTGTCTATTGATGCATGGACACATCAACATAGGTTTTGATTGAAATTAAAGTCCAATTCAGTGCCCTAAGCATTAATGCAGGGTTGAAATGAGCGTACACTTCTGTAGCATTGAGTTTTCACTAAAGGGTGTGGGTGTGAGGGTATATTTTTCAAAGATTATTCCAAGCCACTTACGACGATCGTTTCGGACCTTGTTTAAGGGTTCATCACCAGGTAAATTTGGAATAGTAATTAACTGCATGCGTATAAATGAGATCTCATAGAAATAGAGAGTTACAAAAGCCGGAAACTAAAGTCAAAGACCTTCAACAGCAATCTAATGTTAACGATTGATTTAAAATTTTCACAGTAAATCTTTAAAAAGGTGTGTTTTTCAAAGAGGGTGTGGGTGTGGGTGTGAATTTTGGTGACTCTGTGTCTTCTGTTCGTACACATTCATACAGAGATGCACACCCACACCCTCACCCAAAAAACTAAATATAATATAATCAGGGTGTGGGGTATAGGTATGGCAAAAAGACGATGAACATGCACACCCACACCTTCGCAGTAGGCTTTTCATACCTACTAAGACATATTCATGGATCTACAGTGTCAAAAAACAGAGTTTACCATGGTGGACAAGCAATTGAGATTCATTCTTCTTTGAACTCTCATTTCATTTATTTGTATTCACCCATTCACACAATATATGAATTTGTTACTTCTTTCTTTCTAAATTTATTATGTTCGCAATCAAAATTTCATCATTATCGATGCTTTCCAACAAAATTCAAACAACTTTGCTTCATCTGCTTGATTTCTTTCACTTTTCTTCGAACAATTGTGCAGCGTGTGTTTTTTATTGTATATAATCGTGCAGACATTACAACGTACGTGCTGCTTTTTTCTCTTCACATTTTGTTTCTATCGTAGAGAAAGTTAAAACAAAATGCAAGTAATTGCATTTCTTCTTGTTTGTTTCTGAAGGTAAGAAGTAAAAATTTGAAAGAAAAAGAACAAATAGTTAGTAATGGGAAAAACAAGTTTCTGATGCAAGTTAACACGAAAAAACATCTCTGTATAAAAATGTAATAGTGTCGTATTGTATCAAGGTTAAATCTAATGGAAATTCATAATTTTGAATAGGAATAAGATTGGTTCTTCTTTTTCATCTGTTACAGTCCATTTCCTGTTCCATACTCTATTCAAGCGTAGAATATGTACATAAAACATTGTTCATTTCCAAAAAAAACATTCTCAATCGATAGTAAGTAATATAGGATCAGTCAAATAAGGGTTATGAAGCTTAAAATTAACCTGTCATGAAGCATTTAGAGTTTGCTGATATGTAAGGAAATATCGAACAGATTAGCAATTTAGAAATATTTTGAAATGTTTTATTATTTTTTGAGTGAATATATCCGCAAATGGTTCGATTTTGTGAGTTTTTCAATGCCCATGGTGCAACTCTAAAGAAAATATGATATTGTAGGAAATTTTTTTAAAGATTTCGTAGAAGCTTAAGATAAATTCAATTTTTTTTGTGGATTCGAATCGATTGTTATCAATATATCGGGTGTCCCAGGAATAATGAGCCTCCCAGTATTTTTAAGATTTCCTGTCTATTATCACTGTAAGTAAAG